TATGTAAATTCTATGTACATGTATACTTTGTAAACGTAAAGAAGACAAATGAAGTTGAACACAAGATATTTATTTGCATTTTTTTCCGTATAGTCTCTGCACAACTGCCACTTCTGTTTCAAATTCAATAGATTGAATACGGAGTCTTGTATTTATTCTTAGTTCAATGATATCACCATCACTTGCACAAAAATCGCATACACATGTACATCAAGTTTGGCATATGAACTATGATATTTGAACTACAACAATGTGGTGTTTTCACAGTCAGGATAAGCACATGTCATTTTCTCTCTTACAAAACCATTTTTAAGTATCACATTGATAGTAGTACATGTAATCGGTCCACTACATGACTGTGCAGTAACATTTGAAAAAAGTCATCACTAATAGTTGTTCCTGTCTGCCAGGGAATCTTTTTTTTCAATCAGAAAGGCTAGGGAGTCCTACATTCAGCACATGTATGATATTACATCTCTTGTATGCTGCACTGTTAGGTAAATTTGATCAACATCTTTGTTCTTTTATAACATGCAGGATCCTGTTAAAAAAAAAATGCTGTCAGATACTGAATGTAAATATACATGTATATAAACTTGTAAATGTCATCAAAGTGGTGGAAATAATGAAAAAAACAATTTATATACACAAAACCGGTATGTCTTGGGAAAGTAATTCCTGTGATGGGTACAATTGTTCTTTAAAGATGGACAATTTTAAAAACTGTAGCCATGGACAGGTGTCTGTCTTTATATTGAAGAGAATGAACATGGCCGACAGATTGAATAGTGATTTTTTAATTGTAAATTGCATCAAAGTGGGTGAAAATATGGAAAAAAACAACTGAAATACACAAATCCAGTATGTCATAGGAAAGTAATTCATGTGCTGGGAACAATGATTCTCTAAAGACGGACAAGTTTATAAACTGTAGCCATGGACAGATGTCTGTCTTTGTATTGAAGAGAATGAACATGGCCGACAGCTTGAATGGTGATTTTTAATTGTAAATTGCATCAAAGTTGGTGAAAATATGGAAAAATCAACTGTTATATACAAATCCAGTATGTCATAGGAAAGTAATTCATGTGCTGGGAACAATTATTCTCTAAAGATGGAAAAGTTTATTGACTGTAGCCATGGACAGGGGCCTGTCTTTATATTGAAGAGAATGAACATGGCCGACAGCTTGAATGGTCATTTTTTAATTGTAAATTGCATCAAAGCTGGTGAAAATATGGAAAAATCAACTGTTATACACAAATCCAGTATGTCATAAGAAAGTAATTCATGTGCTGGGAATAATTATTCTCTAAAGATGGAAAAGTTTATTGACTGTAGACATGGACAGGGGCCTGTCTTTATATTGAAGAGAATGAACATGGCCGACAGCTTGAATGGTCATTTTTAATTGTAAATTGCATCAAAGTGGGTGAAAATATGGAAAAAACAACTGTTATACACAAATCCAGTATGTCATAAGAAATTAATTCATGTGCTGGAAATAATTATTCTCTAAAGATGGAAAAGTTTATTGACTGTAGACATGGACAGGGGCCTGTCTTTATATTTAAAAAATTGAACGTGGCCGACAGCGAGAATACTGAATTTTAATTGTAATATTGCATCAAAGTGGGTGATTTAATGAAAAATTCAACATATTTACACAAAACCAGTTTGTCTTGGGAAAAGTGATTCATCTCATAAATGGTTTTATTCCTTTTCGAATGAAAAGGTTTTAATAAAAAATACGTCCGTGTAAAAAAATTTCATAACGTCCATGTCGGCCAAGCTTTCCCCTTATTATTGACCACAATAAAACGTTAATCGTCACAATATTTTAACTAACAATTACTACAAACTGAATAAAACAAGGTAAATAATTTATGAAATTGAAATATATACTTACATTATGCTGTTTTGAAATGCTTGATGTAAAATAAAAATCGAAGCGGTGGTGAACTTGTCATGATCAGATGCAAAATGGTGATCTCGTTAAAGTCTCGTGTGGTGCATGTTTTTAATTGGATTTCGCTGACCACTGTTACAGTTGCCAATCTCTGTGTATATATGTCTCTGTTTCAACATAGTCTACTTTATTACGCATACTTCTAATGTTAAGGTGAAAAATTGAGAAAATACCACCTAGAGGACCAGGATTAACTTCTACATCATTACTTAGCATTATCAATAATAATATCACAAATGTTAACATTGGTTTCAATAAAAATAGATCAAGATATATAGAATAGCATACCGACGCCAAACATTTACATTTCATAATAAGCAAGAACAGTTCAAATAAATAGGTGTGTCTTTTTCTTAAATACAACAATTTTCTACAGAATACTGAATAAAGTTTACTGTAGAATTGACCTTTCGACGAGCGATAAGCTTGAATATCATTACCCATTGTCAAATACAAACATGGTTAAGCAAGAATACGATAGGTCAAACAATACACTAACTATATCTAAACCCTCTTTCGTCACTCCAGTCATAAACAGAACAAAACATATGTACAATAATTCAGATTGTGGAGGTAAATGTACAGGCTGTGTTTTAAAAAATAGTTGTTGAGTTATCTTTAATAAAAAGTAGAGAAAGCAAATGAATGCTTGATACATCTGTTTTTTTTTTTCAAATGTAATGAAAAAGAAAGAAAAAAAAACAACACATTTTTGTACGATTTTACAAAGCGCAAAGAAAAAGAAGTAATAAAAAAATACCACATACTAAATATTTTTAATTCTTTTAAATGAAAGATAATGAGAAAATTATCATGGTTGAAACTTTTAGTTTGAAATTTAATGTTCGTATTTGTTTCTTTCAACTCAACATTATGTTAATCGAGTGAACCTTTTTAAGGTTACACACCTTACACGCTTGAACAATTTTGGTAAATAAACAGTTACACGTGGCAAGTATTGTTGATTGATAATTGAGGAAATGTTCATTTATTTCGTTACAGGTAGGTTACATTTTTGTTATTGTTTTTAGAGATAAAAATAATACTTGACATAAATCATGTTTGTCTTATTGTGTATCTGCGTACAACTAAATGTTAATATGATGATAATAACAGGTTATTTCAGAACTCCTTCAAACAAGATAAAGTGGTAATAGTCATTCTAGTTTTTATATTTTAACAAGTTATTCAGTCTTAAGATTTTCAACATCTTGAAAGGACTTGATAAGAATTTTGTCGGAGCCGGATTTCTTCTTTGTAAATACTCTACCATCAAAAGTCCAAAACGAGTGAATCTTATTGTTTTTTTTAAGTTGATTGAGCCTTTAGATGAGTTCCTGTCTGTCTCTGGTAAGATTTTCTGTAATAAATATGTGAGCCGAATTGTTCTTGAGTTTCTTTTTTGACATATAGATGGAGTTTTTAATTTTCCAATTTCGGAACCTACAAATGAGTTGTCCTTTCCCATATTCAATTTTACCAATGATGTGAGACCTGTTGATGTCATTGACACAGAGAGGAGGTGAAATGCCCAGTTTTAGGTTGGCAATATCAACTATTAGGTCGTCGGTATTTTGGAGGTCTTCTTGAGTCAATGGAACGTTGTGAAATCTAAGTGATGTTCTGCGACCGTATTGTTCAAGCTCTTCTATATCCGCATTTAGAGTCGCCACTTCCTCCTTTAGACTCTTATTTTCAGCCATATTGATAGAAGTTGCATTGCCCAAATTTCTAAATTTCTCATATCTTTCATCAAGATCGGTAAGTGCTTTGTCAACATGTTGTTTCAATTGAGCATTTTCAGTTACTAACGATGTAATTTTTTGTTGTTGTTGGTTAATGATGTTATTTAGTGGTTTGATAGCATCTTGGATGGCTTCAGTAATAGCTGATTTAAATGATTTTTTTAGTTCTGAAACAAGTTCTGTTTTTATTTCACTGATAATGGATTGAAATACATCAGGTTTCAATAAAGTTGATTGTACAAGTTTTGCCATATTAAAGCTTTCACCATGAGTTTTGAATGTAATTGGACTAGATGGGATACCACTCGACTGTAAGTTTGATTGTCGTTGTACAGATAAAGATCTTTGACGGGTTGATGGGGGTTTCATTTGGTCTTCTTCTGATGATGAAGATAATTGACGTTTCCGGGAGGAACTTCTCCCTCTGTTACTACCACCATGAAGACTTGTAGACATTAGGAGTTTGACTTTTTGGTCCACTTGTGGCGGACATTTTGTTTGTTTATAACTAGGGTTGTATCAATAAATCGTATATTTTACCAGTTTTTTAACGCATATAGTGACAAAACATTGGAAGTCTGAATAGTACTATATGTTAGGAGTGCATTCTTGCAAATTTCGTTACCAAATCACACATAAAAATTTTACATTTCGTACAAAATGTTTGTTAGTACTTTTTACGTCCTACTAGTTGCCGCCATTATCCTTCTATCTCTAGGTGAAGTGCCAACCAATCTCTGACCATTTCTTTTCCCCTTAAGCAGACCTAGTAACAAATTAAAACAAATTGTTGAAGCACCCCGATATTGCCAGAGACTGCATGCCTTTATCTCACCTCAATGACTTTTTAGGGGCTAAATAATATATATTAGACAAAAAATGGATGCCTGAGAGCACATACAAGACAGGACAGTCAAACAAACTTGCAGTATTTCTATGTCCCTTGTACCTTGTTGCAGCAGTGGGCAATAAACAAAAAATGTTAAAACAACTCAGTCTGAATAATCTTGCTTAGAAAAAGAAATGCAAATTTAGCATGTAATTAAATAAAACTTATATTTAATTAACTTGCTACAGTGCCATGTAAAGGCCTTGATTGAAAACACTGTAATTTTTCTGAAAAGAAACCAATTTCTTTCGTTTACTGTAACATTTTGACCTTCCAGAGGCAATTATGTTTTAAAGGCTTACAGCAACGAGTAAATACATATACAGTCGAACTTGCAATAAAAGTCACCTCAATTTATCAAAAACATGTCTTGGCAGGTCACAGTAATATCTTTGCATTTTGAACCTCAATTTAAAGGTCACCTCTCTAATATGGTCAGTTTTCTGTGGTCCCAATACTAATCTTAATATACAGGTTTGACTGTATTGCAGGCAAAATATTAAAACATTATACTTTATTTTATCTAAATTTTACTTTTTTCACTATACTTCTGTGCCAAAATGTGTCATATATATTCCCTATTATTCCTTTTTATTATATAAATTCTCAGTTGTTTTGATATTCTTGTTTAACTTCCTGACTGGTTGCAACTTAGATTTATTTCCTGACAGTCTATTTGAGTCAATTTCAATTGGTTCCAATTCCGCAGCTTTATACCTCTCATTTGTAGTCCGATTTGTTAATACCACATTGACATGATAAATTGTAAATATTCCCAATAAAATGATCAGAAAGAATAAAGATGTCACTATAAAGACAAGTCGTGGAAACTGCATAAACAGATGCTGAAAAAGAAAAAAAAAGAAGGATAAGTCTTAGCATTGCATAAGATAAACATTCCAAGATTTGTAAGTTTCTTTTTAATGAAAACGTATGTAACACAACGGGTACCACATGTGGAGCAGGATCTACTTACCCTTCCGGAGCATCTGAGATTCCCCACTTTGGTAGTATTGCTCAATCTTTAGTTTTCTATGTTGTGTCTTGTGTAATGTTGTTTGTCTTTCCATTGATTTTGTTTTTTGTCATGGCATTGCCAGTTTTTCTTCAACATACAAGTTTTAATATCCATTTGAATCTCTCGCCTCTCTTATGTCGTCCTTCTACCTCTTTTCCTTTTACACATCTGAATAAATGAGTGCCATTCCTTTGGGATTTTAGGAAATTCTTGTTTCCAAAAATTATATATGGTGCACCTGCAATGCCTGAATTAAACTTAGAAATAATGACAATGCTAATCTTATGTCTGCATGTTTCTCGTTAGTATAATCCACTCAAAATGTTTTTCATGAATTTCAATCATAATATATATATAATAAAAAATTCTTTGGGATTTGTATTATTTTTGGTTGCTGCTTCATTGATGTAAACATGGTAAACTCAAAATCTCCTTTTATTCATATTCCAGGACTTGCAGTTCAAAAACACCTGTTTCAAAAAAAATGGTTCAAATTCATAGCAAGAGAAATTACCTGTAGTACTATTGAATATGTGACTTGTTTCATTTCTCCGTTAGATGTCATCACTTTTGTCTCTAACAATCTGTGGTATTGTGTATATAAAACTAAACTCTTTACACCAACATAAAATCCCCATATACATTTAAACATCATAGTGAGTAAGAACAACACAAAGTATCCATGATTTAGGCCCCCTACATCAGTGTTGGTCCATAAACAATGGTGATCAAAGCGATGGACACATCTGTTGCAAATACCTAAAATAAAAAAAATTGTGCTTAAATTGTATTTATTTCCATGATCAGTGTGAAAAAAATTTTTCAGAAAATATTTTATTGTAGTAGAATTTGTTTTATAATATTTATTTGTTTGAATCATCAAGCAACTGCCGTCAAAATCATGATAGTTAACAAAAAAATTATATGTCATAGCAAATCAACAAATCATCACACAGACCTTACAGGTATGGAAGATTGAGGAGGAAATTTTGTCACCATGACATTGAAGTGAGATCAGATGTTGGCATTTAACATAAAACTGATTGATTGCTATTTTCTAAAATTTTGCTTTGATCGTGTCTTGTGATAATTTTTCATATCTCACTACATGAGTGATATAGATGGTTTTCTCGGTCTTGTAGAAAGAGAATGTTTGACGTCATGAGCCTAGGTCATTGATGTTGCCTACAAAAATAGGGATAAACAGATTATCAGTGGTCTTTGAACCTCTAGGATGTTTCTCAGCGTTATCTTATTTCAGGGCTGTCCTCCTTCTATGAGATTGTAGCTGAGAAACACCATCCCTTTTGAAAATTCATCGATAATCTATAAATATATCACAAGTAACATGATAACTCTTCAATTAAAATTTAGTATAAAGTGTTTCACATTCATCTGATATCTTATAAAGATGAAAATAACAGATGGAATCTAATTCCTACTTTAATCCATTCATTCTGTAAGAAATCTATGACCATGTTCCATCCTGTTAGTGGCAGCTTCGAAAGTAAACTGCTAGATGAAATTTGATATCTGTTTGTATATCAAACCCTCCCATGCAACATGAAATTTTATATACACTTGAATTACCTCAACCCACCCTACCACAGGAACAATTATTGAATTTCTACTTTTGACATTGCAGGAAGTTTTATTAAGTAATTTTATTTCATTAATATTTGTATTTCAGTATTTAACAGAAATTATGCTGTATTAGAGAGTAAGCATGTATGGTATTGCATCTAGTGCTCATATATATACAATGAAATAAACAAATAAGAATGTGTGATTTATACTACATTGCTTCATACATTTGTGAACTTAATACAATATCTATGGTTTCAGTTCTAATTCTATGGGTTACAAGCAAACCACACATTTTTTCATATTAAAACTGATTTCAATTCTGTCATTTCTGTCAAATAAATCTGAATCTAACGGTGGGAAAAGGAAGTATATATTTCAACATGGCACACAATGTTAAATATTTAATTCAAGGATTTAAATATCACTCAAATATTGCTAAATATAGAATAATGCAATACTTTCTAAAAATATATTCTGAAAAGGCTTGAAGGTATATAAAGACTTCTAAAACAAATAGTGCAATTCTTCTAATCAAATCAACTATCAGGCCACAAATATTTTTAAATGACAAAAATTTTAAAAATTTGATCCAATTTACAACCATTGCAAATGGCATTCAAATCAATATCTTTAGGAATATATACAGGACAATTAAAAAATATATTCATTGGTTAAAAAAACTATCTGAATAAAAATGCAGTGAGCTGCAAATTACTATGGTCTATTGTTGTTTTTTTTTCTTTTTCTTTTGCTAAATAAGACAATCCTTTATATTTCATTTTCCTTTATTACTATTCCTAATGAAACAATCCCTTCTAGAATTATCAAACCCTATTCTTCAATAATGCTTAATCTTCATAAAATTCATGTTCTGAACTTCCTTGGTCACAATATTTGGTTAAAACAAAAATTATTTTTAGCAATACTATCTTTTGAAAATTTTCATTTTATAAATACACGTAGAAAATCCAGAATTTATTTATAGAGCAAAACAATTTTACATTATTTAAATCTCCAAAAGATTATATAAACTTCCTAGTGCTGAAATATTATGCAAAGGGAGGCAACTGCTTAAGTAATTTATAGAGGCAGAACTAGATTATCTCCCATTATGATTTTACTGAACCAACTTAACATTTTAAATAACTAAGTCTAACATAACTATGGCATGGTATTGGTTGCAAAAATTTGATATTTTTCTTTTAAATGCAATATTTCTTATCTAATTGGTATATTTCTTCATTTAAATGCAATATTTTTTTATTTGAATGGTATATTTTTTCATTTAAATGCAATATTTTTTATTCAGATGGTATAATTTTTCATTCAAATGGTATAATTTTCGATCAAATGCAATATTTTTTATTCAATTGGTATAAAATGTCATTTGAATGCAATATTTTTTATTCAATTGGTATAGTAGTTTTTTATTTATATGCAATAATTGCATTATGGGAAATTCTTTGACGTCATAAGGTCTAATTTGCAACAACGTTTGTGATTGGTCGGTAATTGTTTGGATTTCTCCCCTTTCTTTCTAAACTTGAGTGACCAAGAATTAAAAAAACGTCAGAATATCGCCCCTCTAACTAAATTTGGCGTTCGTGCGAGTTCGTGCACTGGCTGTTAATGCCAATAATGGCCAGAACGAGCAAAAAATGCGAGTGACACTTGAAGTAATAAAATTTAATTTGACACACAACTTGTTCATGGATAGAAACAGATGCCTGCGTGCATGGCAAAACACCTGCAATGAAAACCTTTTCTGAAGAAACTCTCCTACAGTCTACACATTGAAATATAAAAAAAAATACATAGCTAGCCCCCTCCCCCTTCTAAGTCCAGATACATGTAATCATGACGTTCTTTAGTGCTATATCATTTTTTACTTTTCTTGATCCTCAGAGACGTTGCAGGAAGGCACACATGAAAAAAGAATAAAAAGCATCCAGGACGTTACAATTATTTGGACTAAGCCCCCTCTTTTTCACTACATGTAGAAAAAAATCACCTAATTACGACAGCAGAACCAGAAACCCACAAGTAGAGACATAAGCTGTTATACTCCGGAACTCAGTAATTCTTTAATAAAGACAATTCAGGATACATTGCAACCAGTTACTAACCCATGTTACAACAATAGTCCTATGACATAGGACTTCACTATATGAGGCGTGAACTTCATATTTAATACTATCTATAATATGTGCTCTCATGTCTTATGCTGCAAATCATCATTTACATTTAGGGTTCGTTGCTGAGCTTTTTTTTACTGTTCTCGTCTCCGAATCCCTTAAATAGATTTTTTTTCAAGCCCCACAGTAGTTCAATAATTACTATATGTCTTTGCATAAATAAGTATGCAGGGCATATTTCAAAACATATTTTATCTTCAGGACTTTTAAATGATTTACTTTTCAATACTGCATTGGGAAAGGTGGTATACAAGTTTATTTTGTGACACATTATATAATATAATTCGGTATCCAACAAATTATATGATTGTACGTTTAGCTATTATCTAGACCCGTAAACAATGTATATAATTAGACACATTTAACAGGGGCGGATCCAAAACCTCGGTGTCTAGAGGGGGGGGGGGGGGGGGGGGGGGGGGGGGAGTTGGTTCAAATTTAGAAATTTGTATAGAGATGTATTATATATGCGAGTATTGGCAGTAATGATTATGGTGTGTGTGTGAGGGTAGGGGTTTCAGATCAAAGATTGTTTCTATAATTCTATATCTTTTAGTTTTTACCATTTCACTCTATTCTTTATCCTTTGATCTCTATTATATTTGTTCTAAACATGTGTGACATATTTGCCACTGGACATAAGGCAACCAAAAGTCAATCAACGTATTCTGTATATTTCATCATTTCAAAAAACTTAATTCATATAGTTTTTTTCACTGACCCCTAACCCCCCCCCCCCCCCCCCCCCCCCTTCTTAATTTAATTTGGGAAAAATTGATTGACCAATTAGGATATATATAAAATCGATGTTAATTAAACAAAACTTGCAGCTATTTTGACCCCCCCCCCCTCAAACTATTTGAATTAAGTTTTTTATCCTTCATTGATTTTCTGATGTCGTCCCTTATCCTCTCTATGTAAACCCAATTCATGTCCTGATAAATGGTGACTCATGCATAGCATCATATGTGGTTATTAAAAAAAGAAACATATTCATATTATAATAATTAATGTATGCTAGGACTTATAGATAGATGTCATTAGTCCCAGGTCATGTAATAAAGTAGGTCTTATAAAAATACAATAGCATTTTAATTTTAATGATTATATATATGTTTATATATTTCATAATGCCATTTTTTTGGAAAAAAGGGTAGGGGCAAGGCGTTTTTAAAACATATCAATGGGGCGCTTTTTTTTGTTCTTCGGAAGTGAGTCAGAAGAAGTCCATTTCTGTTTTTTTTTTTTTGCATTAGGAAGATCTTCTGGCTCTCTTCCACCTCTTCTTTTTTGATAGGTTGACGGAAGAGGCACATAACAAACATGGCGTCGTTTAGTCTAAATGAAATTATTAAATTTATGACTGCAGATTTATTAGAATGTGAGCTGTTTTATAAAGGTTTTTATGGTATGACAGCCTTAGTAGGACATCCCTGTAGGACGATAAGCTGGATAAATATAAGAACTACACGGACAATAACAGTTAAGGGACGATTATTTGATATTCTAGGGAAGGGTTTTTGATTGATTGGTGTTTAACGCTACTTTCAACCCTATTGGGCTATTCCGTGGTGGTCAGTTTAAATTTATAGATGGAGGATGGGGGAAGGGAAGAGAGAGCATTATTATTCATTTCAATCTGTCGCTAATCATGCCTATTTTTCAGCTCTTACCAGGCAACCATATTCATATATGAAACCCTTCTGTCCCCACCCCAACAAATAAATAAATATCAAATGGTTTTCCTCTTATTTAACACAAGTTTAAATTGATTGATTGTTTGTTGCCAATTTTAACGCCCAGTGAAAATTATTGCATGCTTGTTCAGGAAAACACGAGTTTAGAAGTCACGTATATAATATAAAAATGAAGAGATGGAATATGATTGCTAATAAGGCAACTATCCACCGGAGTTCAAATATGAAGTGGATGTAAGCAATTATAGATAGGATAAGATAAGATAAGAAAAAATTATTTTAAGTCGGGTTACATGAAATACTACAAACATAAGCTCTGTAGAGCTTTTTGCCGTCATGTAGACAAATGCTTTTTGTAGACAATCGTAAGGCCTTCAACAATGACAAAAACCTGATACTGTAAAGTCGTCTATAAAAGGCCCGACATGAAAAGTGTGAACAATTCAAACGAAAAAACTAACAGCCTAATTATACATAACAAAACAATTTACAAAATATCAAATATGAGTCGAGACAGGAACCAACGATAACCATTAAACTACAGGCTCCATCCCTGGGACAGGCAAATAAAGAATATGGCAGGGTGGATATAAAAACGAAGATGTGGTATGATTGCAAATGAGACAACTCTCCACAAGAGATCAAATGACACAGAAATCAACAGCAATAAGTCACCGTACGGCCTTCGGCAATAAGCAATAGTCAGCTATAAAAGGCCCCGAAATCAAAAATGTAAAACAATTCAATCGAGAAAACTAACGGCCGAATTAATGTACAAAAAAATGAACGAAACACAAATATGTATAACAAAGCAACAAACGGCAACCACTGAATTACAGGCTCCTAACTTGGGACAAGCACATACATACAGAATGTGGCGGGTTAAACATGTTAGCGGGATCCCAATCCTCCCCCTAATCTGGGACAGCGGTATAACAGTACAACAACATGTTTGTGACCAACCCATCCCAAAGCTGGGACAGTGGTGTAACAGTACAATAAAATAACAACCTGCACAAATCAGCAAATTAACTCAAAAGATCGGTACGAGACACACAAAAAAACTAACATTAAGACAATAGACACAAAGCACCGACATAAGAGTATTTGCAATTACTGGAAGTTTGCTTAAACCTAATTACAACCGGTACTGAAATAAATCTTGTTCTCCCAGACTGAGTTATCAATCAGTACACAACGCGCGGCAAAGGATTTATTAAAAAAAGAAAACAGTCTGAGAAACGTCTGGTTTACGTTGTATATAGATATAAGAAGATGTGGTATGAGTGCCGATGAGACAACTCTCCATCCAAGTCATAATTTGTAAATGTAAACCATTAAAGGTCAACGTACGGTCTTCAACACGGAGCCTTGGCTCAAACCGAACAGCAAGCTATAAAGGGCCCCCAAAAAATTAGTAGTGTAAAACCTTTCAAACGGGAAAACCAACGGTGTCTAATCTATTTAAAAAAACCGATATACTTGCATATAAATCCATATACAATGAAACGGTTTTTGAAAAGTGGACAGAACGTTTTGACGATCGAAATTTTGCAATAGAAATACTAGTTATGACCACAAGATTTAAACAGCCAGTGCAGGACTCGCACGAACGTTAGATTTAGTAAGAGGGGCGATATTCTGACGCGTTTTTTTAATTCTTGGTCACTCAAGTTTAGAAAGAAAGGGGAGAAATCCAAACAATTTCCGACCAATCACAAACGTTGTTGCAAATTTGACCTTATGACGCCAAAGAATTTCCCATAATGCAATTATTGCATATAAATAAAAAACTACTATACCAATTGAATAAAAAATAATGCATTCAAATGGCATTTTTTACCAGTTGAATAAAAACTATTGCATTTGAATGAAAATTATACCATTTGAATGAAAAATTATACCATTTGAATGAAATATTATACCATTTGAATGAAAAATTATACCATTTGAATGAAGAATTATACCATTTGAATAAAAAATATTGCATTTAAATGAAAAAATATACCATTCAAATAAAAAAATATTGCATTTAAATGAAGAAATATACCAATTAAATAAGAAATATTGCATTTAAATGAAAAATATCAAATTTTTGCAACCAATACCATGCCATACATAACCTACTTTCCTTTTTTTTAATATTTTTATTTGCCTGATATCACTTACATAATATAACATTCATAATGAAAATAATTTTGTTTGGCAAACTTTCACTTCCATAAATGTTCATCTGGGCATTTTTCTATGAATGTTTTGGCAGAGAGTTATGAAAGTACTTTAATTTAAAACTTTTATTTAAGGTTACACCATTTTATAAAGAACTGCAGTATGAGATACATGCTGAATATTTGTCAATATTTATGAATACTGACAGTGGAGTATAATAAATTTGTGTATCTACATTGTTTTCATTTAAAAAAAACATCTATTCAACACTATCCAATGATTTATAACTTACTACAATGCTTTGATCTTGCTGGCTTCACAAATTTACAAGTCCTACATTTTGCATTTGGTATGTACATTCTCTCATCATATGGATAGATAGGCTGGTATTTCTCTAAGTTCAATGGAGTTATCTCCCCTGGATCTCCATTACAACATTTATGGAAGAAGTACAAACTGGCAAATGCATTTATAATGGGTATCAATGTATGGTTTTGATCTGGTAGATACTTGTAAAGAAGTGGTAACATGTCCATAATACATAAAATGTTACCTGCTAGTACTAACACTCCAAATAATACCTTCATACCGTTTCTGAAAAGAAAAGTCATTTATTGTTATATAAATCTATTTATTTATTTACTGAATATAACAACTTATGGAATGTTTGTACAGTTTTTCATTTTACAATTTAAAATGCAACAGTCATTTCCTATAAAATTTTCATATACTGTAAACTTTGAAATTATTGTGATGTATTTATTAATAGGAAAACAATCAACAGATTCAGGGTTACAAAAATAAAAACTTGCATTCATAATTTCATTTGTGATTTCCTTCATATAGCTTTTGCAATCGAATTAATGAGATCTCACAATTTTTCCAGAGATCAAGGATTTGCAATAATAAATGCACACATTAATTTCTGAATTAACAGTAAGTCATTGTATGGTTTGTTAAGATGAATATTTTTGTATGACAATTTATTTACTGCTTTTTCTTCATCATTCTTCTACAAATTTGGACAATTTGAGTAACTGGCATCACTTGACATCAATGTTCATTAATACATCATAATGAAAAAAGGATCTCTTAAGAATGGAATAAAAAAGGTCGACAATATCACTTTTCAGAATATGTCTACGTAAGGTTGGCAATAATACCCTCTGTACTTCTGACAAAATCTTTCTATATATTTTATGAGATAAATATTTTTAAAAAGTCAAATATTAAGAGATAAATTTCTGATTGATATAACAATGAAACAGATAACCACTAAGGCAGAGAAAGAACCCTGTACTGGAAATCTCAATATATCAGAAAATAAACATTTGCATTGCTGTTCTTCAGCTTGATAGTTACAATAATATACTCTTTTAATTCCAGATCTTACCTTGTGTACAGAAAATACTGTGTAGCATTATATAAAACCATTGTTAAACTTTTTGGTACTGCAATCTTGATTGCCTAAAAAGGTAAAAATCAAAACCTTGAGGTCTCAGTTTTATGTGAAAACAAAAGAAATTAAAATCATTAACATAAATCAATAAAAATCAAGATTTTGAAACAGATATATCAAAGGGAACGGAAGTTCTGATACAAATATGTCAAAGACAATCTGTTAAAGAAAGTGTAAATAATGTTAAAGCTATTTATATTTGAAGATACTTAGGTGCCACTAGGTAAGCAGGCATCGTTTTCCATTTCAGAACACAGGTGTTCACCACCAGTTCATATACAAACTGGATGCTTGAAGTGAAGAATATTTAGTTTTTATCTGTTATCACAAAAAGTATACTGGATTCACATCAGCTTTTGCCAAATAAACTATTGGGGGATAATTTTTAAATGTTACATTAGAAACAGTCAGGTGGTCAAATGTTTCAAAAGCAAGGTCAGCAAAAATTTGTTCAGCAGGATTAAAATTAAAATTTGCTGGTTTCAATTCAAAGATTATGCAGAAAGTTTAAAATCTGTATCTGCATTTTTATGATATACTATAGCTATCATCCTTTTTATTGGAGTTTGTTAATGATTTAATAAGGTAGAATTGTTAAAACTCTATTTTTTCACATTTCCACATATATTTGGAAACTTTTAAAGAAATCCTGTTTATCATGTTCACTATGATTAAATTAAACATTTTTTTTTCAGCAGCTGACCACTCAAAATTGTCAAAGGATAAAAGACAGATGTGTCAATTAGATGACATTTAAGACTAACATTGCTGCAAAATATTGCTTGCTTAGTTAAAAGAATCTATGAGCAGACACTTTAAAGAAGATCAAACTCAAAAATTGAAGGTTAACTCATTCATGTACACTGTGTATATATGTGAAATGTGTGTTCTGGTCTCCACTTGTGTGTGTGTACAAAACACCATGTGAAGTAGATTTGGTACCTTCTACAATGTCTCTGCTTACTAGTATCTCCTTTCTAAAGTTTACAACAATTTTTCTATCATTTTAAGGAGATCAATTAACTAAGAAAGTAAATATTTACAGATATTTCATGAGAACATTGCAGAAAACAACTTTTGGTAATTTTATTTATATTCCAAAGGTTTATCAGTCATGTCAGTCATCATTTGAAACAAAAAGTTTGAACGGCCAACAGTTATTCCTCAAAAAGGCTACATACAGTAACATAACACACATTTTTTGATGGTAAGATTTAATGGTGTTTATTTTTATTTAAAAAAAATACATTTTTGTGCATTGTAAAGTAAAAGCCAACTTAATTTGTTAATTTAAAATGCAAATTATTTCAATTTGTAAAAAGCATTACATCAACAAATACTAGAGGAAAATTTTGGAAAAGTTTGGACTCTTTTTCTCAATATCAGAGACATCCAAGAAGCTTTAAAGTTCAAGAGCTCTATTACAGACCTGTTCATTTGATATATTTATTTCAACATATTGTCTCAAGTACATTATTTATGTGGCCCCTCATTGGGGTGTCCAAGTAATCACATAATCGCAATTTGTTTGCCAATATAATCACATATTAATCATTAATTATATTTTTAAACAAGATAATCAAAAATACCGTCCTAGATTATCAAATAATCATGAAATATTTATAATCACTATCACAACGGCCAAGTAATCACATATTGACATAATCAAAAACCCAATGAGGAGGCTCATTTATCCGATGTTCCTTCTTTTTAAGTATCTCCATTATTACGTCAGCAAATGTTCACATGTATGATGACAGCTAGGAGTGAAATTCATATGGTTAAAGAATTTACAACAATGTTGATTTATTTACCAATACATCATGTACATACCGATGAAACTATGGTACATATTTTGCCTACTATTCCTGTCCTTAGTATTGCTGAATCTCTATAGAAGTACAATCCAACTGACAAGAAAAACAGAAGTACATAATATATAACGATTTCAAGAAATTCCATTTTCGGATCAGTATGTCTGAAAAAGAAAACACATTATGTTCATGTTGATATTGGGGAAAAATATTGTTTACATCATAATGTTCAAATTTTATTTTTGTTCACAGTGACCTTTCAACTTTCCATAGGCATCCGAATAGATAACAAAAGATACAAAATAAAATAAAACAACCAAAAACAAGTCTGGTATGTAGAAAGTTATATATACAGTGAAAAACATATGAATTCTGTGTTTCATTACACAGCACAAACATGATTCATGTAATTGGTAAAATTTGTCCACTTTTAGACCATGATTGATATGTGAACTTAAGTAAAAGTTATGGCCCCCAAAAGTTCAATTTTGAAGGCCATAAAATGTTATCCAAATGATATTTTAGTAATTTTTTCGGCAAAAGTTCCAGATAGCATACACTAGTACCTTTGCATAGGGTCTATTTCTGTTCTAAAAATCTGTAGTACTTGAAATTTACTTTAAGTATTTAGTACTATTTCTTTACTTTAAAACTATTGTAATATTTAGGTACCTGTATTTTACAGTACTTGATTTGTACTAAAAATTTTGGTACATAAGTAGTACCACCAATGATCACAATATTCCATGTTTGAAAATCTTAATTTTAAGTGATTCGAACTAGACAAACTTTCAAAATGCTGAAAATGCAACGGTGTAACCAAACATCTGTAGTACTAAAATTTCAAGTACAAATCAAGTACTGTTAAATACAGGTACCTAAATATTACAATAATTTTAAAGTAACAAAATAGTACTGAATATTAAAAGTAGATTTCCAGTACTATAGATTTTTGGTAAAGAAATAGTACCTATGCAAAAGTAGCTGTGTACTATATGAATAGAATAACATAGACCAAGTCTAAAAGTGTACAACATCACTAAAAAAATAATAATAAAATGAACAAATGTTTAGTATTTCGGATAACAGATATCCTTCATCAGTATGATCACGATGTAAAATGAATCATATCAATCTAATCTGATTATAAAACTACAACAATCTTGAAATTTATACAATAAAACATTCAAAACTGAACATCATAGAGACGCTTGTACAATTCTATTTTTTTTTCTTCATTTAAGTAGGTTATATAGCTATTTACAATAGAGACTGCAAAGATATGCTTCAAATAAAAATAGTAATGTGCGATATGAACTGGTACAACTCTAAAACTTCAAAGGTGACCACAGTTAAGATGTTACAACAACGGTTGCGTGGAAATACATTCCCAAAAAACAACACTGACCGAGTAAATGTTTGAGTATTCAGTATTTGTTGGCAAGTCAGACATCGTCTGTTACCAAACGACTTGCACCATCCTGCAGTTGAACCGCTTTTATTAGAGGAGACGTAACAGACGATGTCTGAATTGCCAACAAATACTGAAGTCTCAAACATTTACTTGCCACTCCTCTGGGTCTGTGTACATTATATTTTGCAATGTAACTTGCAAAACCCAGAATGTTGTATACCTTCTTCAGTGTCGATGTGGCATGCAGTATGTTGGCGAGACAGGACAGCCATTCAACAAACGCATGAATGGTCATCGAAGTGACAACACCTGCAAGCCCGACCTCCCCGTAAGTCGTCATTTGAGATCACCTGGGCACGCCCAAGCTGATCTCAAAAACCTTACCATCACAATCATAGACCACAACGAGGGTTGGTCAAGGGCCGACAGGCTTGCTCGGGAAAGGTTTTAGATAAGGAAGCTAAGGACAGTTTCCCCAGAGGGCATAAATGAAAAAAACATAGAATGAGTCACTTATTTTCCCTACGATCCCTTATTTCCCTACAATCACTTGTTTCCAGTAACTCAGGCTTCCGTACTGGACTCTTACAGTTTTAAGAAATTTTTTGAATTAAACCAGTTTAAATTACAGGATTCTATTCATTTGGGAGGGATGTACAAGTACGCAGTCACGTTCAATTATTACACCTTTGTCAAAATTTATTATTATTTTTTTAATCATTATCAAACTGCTATTTATTTGGGATGTTTAAATGCGCAGCCTCTGTTTTAATTACTCTACCGTTGTCAAATTTGAAGTATTATACCAGCTTAGATCGGTCAGTGCTGTTTATTGGGAATGTATTTCCACGCAACCGTTGTTGTAACATCTTAACTGTGGTCACCTTTGAAGTTTTAGAG